TGGGGMATTGTAGTTGCTGGGATTTATAGTTCACCTACAATCAAAGAGCCTTCTGAACACCAATGATGGAATTGAACCAAACTTGGCATACAGAACTCCCATGACCAACAGAAAACACTTTGGTGGGACCTTGAGTTTGGGAGCTGTAGTTCACCTACATCCAGGTAGAGCACTGTGGACTTAAATATTGATGGATCTGAACCAAACTTGGCATGGATACTCAGTATGCCCAAATGTGAACAGTGGTGGGGTTTGGGGAAGATAGACATTGACACTTGTGAGTTGTAGTTACTGGGGATGTATAGTTCACCTACAATCAAAGAGCATTCTGAACCCCACCAGTGAGAGAACTGGGCCAAACTTCCCACACAGAAACCCCATGATCAACAGAAAATACTGTGTTTTCTGATGGTCTTTCGTGACTCCTCTGACACCCCCTCACGACCCCTCCAGGGGTCCTGACCCCCAGGTTGAGAAACACTGGTTTAACCCATTGTGCCACCTGGGGATCCCAAAATGTTGGATAATAAGGAGGGATTAAGGAAAAGCCTATTAAACATCAAATTACATTATGATTTTACAAATTAAGCAACAAAACATGTTGTACAACAAATTGACAGAAAAAGCAATTCAGTACACAGTAATGTTATGTAGTAATTGTTGTGTTTGCAAATTTAGCACCAAAACATCGCAATACATTGAAACAGCTGTGGATCCATGTGGGAGGCAGACTGCGTTGGATAATACAGAATGTTGGATGAGCAAAGGTTGGATAAGCAAGACTCTGCTGTACTAGTTTTCTGCAAAATACAGGAAGAAATAATGCTTGGCACCGAGTATTCTTTGCCTAAGAAAACCCTCTGAAATTGATGAGGCTTAGCTTAAGTTAATAAGCAACTTGAGTACATGCACACATTTATATTAGCATCCTGAGGACCAGTCCTAGCTACAATTTACCTGCATAGCTGTGTAGTGTTTCCCAGCCTCAATCCCCACAAACTGGGAAACAGCAGCTCTAAGCAATAGGGGTCTGTTGCTCTGTTGATGAAGAAGCATATGACTGGCACTTTCACTCCCTCCTCTGGAGAGTCTCCATGCCTCGGGAAAGAGCAGGGTCCCTTTGACAGTCTCTGCTCACATGCAGGGAGTGGGAACACCAGACAGCAACTCCCTAATGGACGAGGAAAATGGGACTTTCATGATCTGTGTATCCCCAAAACTAGAGAATATGTAGGGATTAACAATATGAACAGTTATGAGTGCATAACTCAAGGTCACTGTTTAAATGATGAGTCCTGACTCCAAATGGGGGTCCCTTTAGCTCAATGTTGGGGTCATGAAAAAATTGTGAAACAGTAAAAGGTTTCTAAACGCCACCTAGTGACTGTTTTAGACAGTTGCACAAATCAGTTAGCAACAACATTTAGTGTTCACAGTGGATGCTGAAGAAAATGCTTCGTCTGGACTTCATAAAAAGGGAAAATCAGCCTTCCTTAGAATTGTAGAATCGTAGAATCGTAAGAGACCTCATGGGCCATCCAGTCCAACCCCCTGCCAAGAAGCAGGAAAATCGCATTCAAAGCACCCACAACAGATGGCCATCCAGCCTCTGCTTAAAAGCCTCCAAAGAAGGAGCCTCCACCACACTCCGAGGCAGAGAGTTCCACTGCTGAACAGCTCTCACAGTTAGGGAATTCCTCATGTTCAGGTGGAATCTCCTTTCTTGCAGTTTGAAGCCATTGTTCCGTGTCCTAGTCTCCAGAGCAGCAGAAAAGGGCTTGTTTAATAGGGGTCTGTTGCTCTGTTGATGAAGACAGAGCAACAGACCCCTATAAATCTACTTGATTTATGATCAGTAGATGTTTGATTTTTATACCTGTTTTGCCATCTACAGATTTGAGTCCCTGGTGGTGCAATGGGTTAAACCCTTGTGCCGGCAGGATTGTTGACCGAGAGGTCAGCGGTTTGAATCCGGGGAGAGTGGATTGAGGTCTTTCTGTCAGCTCCAGCTCCCCGTGCGGGGACATGTGAGAAGCCTCCCACAAGGATGGCAAAACATCAAACATCTGGGCGTCCCCTGGGTAACATCCTTGCAGATGGCCAATTATTTCACACCAGAAGTGACTTGCAGTTTCCCAAGTTGCTCCTGACATGAAGAAAAAAATCTAGAAATTAACCTGCCAAACCTGTTGACTTATCCACGTTTCAATGTGAGTACCAGGGGCACTTGAGGCAGCATTAGTGCTCTCCATGGAATGATCCTTGACTTATACATGGGTCATATCAAAATCCATAATTTTGGCACTAAATTCTGCCTTCAACTTAAAGATGAGGTCAATATATACATGAGTATATACAGTAGTTGCACTTGTATACACTTAACAGTACCCATTCTGCAAATGTTGTGATGTAGTGCCACACCTACCCACAAAGGTTAGTTTGCATAACTAAACTCTATAACAGGCATCCTCAAAGTGCGACCCTCCAATTGTTTGAGCCTTCAACTCCCAGAATTCCTGACAATTAACAAGCTCATTAGGGCTTCTGGGAGTTGGAGGCCCAAACAGCTGGAGGGCTTTGCATACGTGGCTTGGAACGAAGCCATTTCTGGACTGTATGCTTATAAACATTTCAGGACACTTTAGTGAAGAAACCTTGGTTTATTATGACTTCCAACATTAAAATTGATCAGTTTTAGGATAAACTTTGTCATGAAGTAAAAACGTTTTAAAACTCATTTGGCCAAACATTTGCCATTGAACATTTTTAGATTACAGATTGGCGTAGCAAACTCATACCGCTGTATATATTGCAGCCACCAGAAGAATCCCAGAAAGTCAATTGCCAAATGATTTTGACAAATTTATCAGAGTAGTTTTGTTAGAAATATTCAGTGTTCTCAGGTAAAACAGTACAAAAATGCATGTCAAGGCTTAAATGTTAAAAGCAGATGGTAAAAGAAATGAGGTGGTTAAATTATCAGAAATTTCCACTACTTTATCGTTCAGGTTATGACTGCTACACATTTCATACAATTTTAGCATGCCACACACACACACACACACTCCTTATTCACAGGGGACATGTTCCTGAACTTACCGTGAAAACGGGAGGTCATGGATAACTGCAAACCTTCTTGAAGTTAACACATTATGCTGGAAATTATTATCGAGTCACGCCAGAGGACCTAGAAAATCCCTATTCTTTATCACTTTGTTGATAAAAGATAAAAGAGATTTTGAACCCAGTGTTTTTTTATTAGCCCTTGAAATAATAAAACTATTTGTACTTCACATTTTGGTAAAAAAAGAAACATGCATGCTTGTATTTTCCTCAAACATTACTAGAAAAACAGTGCATAAATCAACACTAGTTCAGGCGCCGAGGAAATTCAACCCGCTTGTCAGAACAGCTGTGGTAAGGGATGATGGAAGATGCAATCCCAAAACATTATAAAGGCCACACATTCCTTGCCTTTTCCTTTACTCATGACCAATTTAAACTTCTGTGGCAGAAATCACACTGCAAGGACTGATGGGAAGATACCAAAGCCAAAAATGTGTGTCTATATCCCAGGATATCCCTTGTTTGGGCAGAAACACATGACTCATCCTTCTCGGAGTCAACAAGCACACTCTGTTTATGCATTTTCCCCATACCACAGATCACTCGCTATAATTTGACCTAGTTTGCAATATGCATAGTTAACAGTGCATTGAGAAGCCTACCATTACAGTTGTTTCAGATAAGACACGGAGAGAGAAAGGAAACGTGGCACAAAGACACTCCATTTGCCACCCACGAAACAGCTACCGCCCTTGGTAGTCTGGGAACTACATCTGCAAAACCATAAATATCTTGAAGAATATCTAAATATAGACAGAATTCAGGAGCCTCTCAGTTTTAGCCATGTAGCCTACAAATACTTGAGCCAGGTGATGCACATGAATTTTGGAAATAAGGACACCTCAAAACAATTCAGGATGCGGATGCATGAGTATACATGCCCTACAGTATAGCTTTTCGTGATGGCACATGCACCTAGAACCTTATTCCAATTTCCCATATTGGCTTCCAAGAAAGAACTACTCACTAGAAAAAAAATTCATGCAGCTACTTTGTATCTAAATTTAGATACTCCACTAAAACAATTTGTTGGCTAATTTTAGCTCAGAGTCTACTTGAGTACACGTTAAAGCTTTAAAAATGCAGTGCAAAAAATTTCCAAAGGAGAAAGTTGGATTTGTTCCCCATCCAAACTCAGCCTCTGGGTTGTTGTGAGTTTTTCGGGCTGTATGGCCATGTTCCAGAAGCATTCTCTCCTGATGTTTTGCCTGCCAGACAATGATGCTGGGGGAAATGGAAGGAAAAAGGAAGAGGGGCCGACCAAGGGCAAGATGGATGGATGGGATCCTTGAAGTGACTGGACTGACCTTGAAGGAGTTGGGGGTGGTGATGGCCAAAAGGGAGCTTTAGCATGGGCTGGTCCATGAGGTCATGAAGAGTCGGAAATGACTGAACGAATGAACAACAACATGGCAGGCATCCTCAGAGGTTGTGAGGTCTTCTGGAACATGGCCATACAGCCCGAAAAACTTACAATAACCCAGTGATTCTGGCCATGAAAGCCTTCGACAGACCTTACAACCTCTGAGGATGCCTGTCATAGATGCAGGCGAAATGTCTGGAGAGAATGCTTCTGGAGCATGGCCATATAGCCCAAAAAACTCACAACCACCTAGTGATTCCGGCCATGGAAGCCTTTGACAACTCATAGCCTCTGCCTTTGAACCTGATAAACCCCTTCAAAAATATCTGTCATCTCTATACTTTCAATTCTCAAAAAGTCCTGGAAAATGCCAATGGCACACATTTCCAGAAAAAAATTCCATCTGACAGAGGAAAGACCTTGACACAGGACCATGGATTTCATCAGTTTCTCTTCCTGGATGCCAGAAAGAGGGGCCTTTGACCCTTTGGGTAATACTCATACAAAATACTATAGGTTTGTTCATTTATTGTTTTTCCACATCTTCAGATAAATTTCATATGTGCCAATAAATAGAAGTTATTCCTCTTAAGAAAAGTTGCAAAATCGATGCCCTCCGGCAGGAAATGGTGATCAGCTCCCATAGTTCTCACTCAGGCAGAGTTCATAACCTAAGTGTCAAGAGAGCCAAGCGATGCTGGTTGAAAATAAAGAGGGCTTGAAAAAAATTCATGGGGATGGTATGAAATCATCTAAATTGCACGCACAAAATCAGAAAAAAATAAGAAGGGTTCATTTCTTCTTTTGGAGAAAATCCTTGGTGAAAGAATCAAATTCATTTTCAAGGTAAATAGCCTTTTTCCTACAAAACAAAAGAGGGGATGATTAGTCTTTTAGTTAGAGGCAGCGTTTCCCACAAATCTTTCAACCTACAAAATACATGCAGTTAACAGAAATCAGAGGGGTTCTCTCCAATGATGATCATGCTACTGACCAGATGACTTTGAGGGTCTGCTGTAACACTTTGGATACCACCCATTCTCAAAGCCACCATCACATTTTGGGCTGTAAAACACACTGTTCCTTTAAAAGGCTGTGGAAAGGCCTGAAAATGCCATTTTAGGCCACCACGATCCATGCAGAAAAGGAAGAAGATGAGTCCCAAACAAAAACAAGAGTTATGTGGGATAACTTCCAGTTGTCCAAAATTGATACACAACAATGTGCTTTAGCTATTTGGTCTCCCAAAGAACCTTAAAATGATGCAGGGTGGCATACTGTACTCTGAAGCATGTACAGCATGGTGTACAAGAAGCCCTTTAGAGCAGTGGTTCTCAACCTTCCTAATGCTGTGACCTCTAGTTTCCTCATGTTGTGGTGATCCCCAACCATAAAATTATTTCCATTGCTACTTCACAACTGTAATTTTGCTACTGTTGTGAATCGTAATGTAAATATCTGATATGCAGGATGTATTTTCATTCACTGGACCAAATTTGACACAAATACCAAATATGCCCAAATTGGAATACTGGTGGGGTTGGAGGGGTATTGATTTTGTCATTTGGGAGTTGTAGTTGCTGGGATTTATAGTTAACCTACAATCAAAGAGCATTCTGAACTCCACGAACAATGGAATTGAACCAATCTTGGCACACAGAACTCCCATGACCAACGAAAAAACTGGAAGGGTTTGGTGGGCATTAACCTTGAGTTTTGGAGTTGTAGTTCGCCTACATCCAGAGAGCACTGTGGACTCAAACAATGATGGGATCTGGACCAAACTTGTCATGAATACTCAACGTATCGAAATGTAAACACTGGTGGAGTTTGGGGAAAATAGACCTTGTCATTGGGGAGTTGTAGTTGCTGTGATTTATAGTTCACCTACAATCAGAGAGTATTCTGAACCCTACCGAGAGAATTGGACCAAACTTCCCACATAGAACCCCCATGACCAACAGAAAATACTGTGTTTTCTGAGGTTCTTTGGCGACCTCTCCAGGGAAAGTTCTACTTCTTAGGGCCCTTCAAGACAGGTCCTATATCCCAGGATCTGATCCTAGGTTTTCTGCTTTAACCTGGATTATATGAGACCACAGATAATCTGGGATAAAAAGAAATCCTGAGATCAGATCCTGGGATGTAGGGCCTGTCTGGAAGTGCCCTTAATCTCCCAACTAGCATATTCTGGGATTTCTGTGAACTGTGGGTCAAAAGGATACTTCTCCAAGCTGCTTGTAAACACACAGGTCCCTTCAGTTTACTTGCACTGCATTGAACTGTGTTATCCATAGTCACACATTTTGCCTGACGGAACACGTGTCCATGATTTTACGATGCCCAAAAAGCAATCCAAAAGCTATTTAATAAATAGGCAACACTTTATAGTATTTGATAGCCAAATTTTCTTTATGATGAGCTAATCCCAGTCACTGCCAAGGCAGCTTTCCTGTGGCTATTTACCGTAGATGCTTTGAGTTGTTCTGGATTTTTTCTAATTGAGTAATTTCTTTGGACAATCTTGCAATCTCTTCCTCCAACTTTCTTTCAGTGATATCAACTTGCTGGCACAGGCGGGCAAACGTAGTGGCCATTTCCCTGAGAGAAAAACATGAAAACCAATCGGTTGGCTTGTTTCCCCTTGGAAGCTATCAATGGTAGAACTCCAACAAGATGGAGCATCAATCACAACCCTATAAACAGAGGGAATGATTCCATCACTCCTGCCTCTGGAAAATCCCTTGAGCAGTATGTGCAGAAAGACTAAACATTAAGTGTGACAGGGGCCTTCTTCCCAGGGACAAAAATCGAAACGACAAAACAGAGAAGACGTACTGTTGCACCTGATGGCTGCAGTTTGCACTTGTAAAGTTGACAACCAGCTGCAGCTTTTCTGTGGCATAGTTTACAAACTGCTGCTTGAAGGCTCGCTCTTTGGCCTTGGTTGTCCAAGTGAGCCTCTCGTAGAGATACAGCAATCCGTACATACTCAGGGAAAGGGAGATGACCTTCCAGCCAACCGTTCTCCAAATCTGCAAGAGAATGCCAAGAGCCGAACTTGGAACAGGGTCTATCAAACATGTGAAGGGAAAATATATCCAAAAAGTATTGCTTGGAGGCAGGAAAGCAGATCCTTATCTCCTAGAATAAATAAACAAACTTTTACAAAAACTAGAGGGTGTGGGATGCTCCAGTGAAGATGTCCTCCCTTCGGTACTCACTGAAGCAGGTTTGTCATGCTACTCACCACTCCTCCAACAATGAGGACTGTCATGGAGGTCCGGGACGTCAGCGATGCCAGATTGGTGACCAAAGAGACCATGAGTTCCTCCTGCGAGGCATTATCTGATGGCAGAGCTGGAGCACTGGGGGCACAAGGGGTGGAGGCAAGGGACCGAGGGATCTAGGGAGAGGAATGCACACTTTGAGACACATCTACCCAGGAAACGACTGGATTTTAAGTGAGGATTTCATGTTTTAGTGCAAGCATGGGCAAACTTGGCCCTCCAGGTGTTTTGGACTTCAACTCCCACCATTCCTAACAGCCTCAGGTCCCTTCCTTTTCCCCCTCAGCCGCTCCCTCTGCTACTTCACAACTGTCATTTTGCTACTGTTGTGAATTGTAATGTAAATATCTGATATGCAGGATGTATTTTCATTCACTGGACCAAATTTGGCAAATGCTCAATACACCCAAATATGAACACTGGTGGGGTTCAGGAGGGGGCAACTGATTTTGTCATTTGGGAGTTGTAGTTGCTGGGATTTATAGTTCACCTACAATCAAAGAACATTCTGAATTCCACAAATGATGGAATTGAACCAATCTTGGCACACAGAACTTCCATGACTAACAGAAAATACTAGAAGGGTTTGGTGGGAATTGATCTTGAGTTTTGGAGTTGTAGTTCACCTACATCCAGAGTGCACTGTGGACGCAAACAATGATGGATCTGGAGCATGAAACTTGGCATGGATACTCAATATATCCAAATGTGAACACTGGTGGGGTTTGGGGAAAACAGACCTTGACATTTGGGAGTTGTAGTTGCTGGGATTTATAGTTCATGTACAATCAAAGAGCATTCTGAACCCCACCAATGATAGAATTGGGCTAAACCTCCCACACAGAACCCCTATGGTCTTTGGCAACCCTTCTGACACCCCCTTGCGACCCCTCCTGAGGTCCCGACCCCAAGGTTGAGAAACCCTGTTTTAACGGAACACAGTTCATTTTAAAAACCAAATTATTCAGTTGGTACTCAGGTGAACTGGGTTTCCTGTCACCAGTTGTTTTGGCTTGGAGGTGAATCAGGAATAAAACCTTACTGCACAAAAGATTTCCACAGTCATATTAATAATTCTACTTGTATCTGGAGGGCTAGTTCCCATTTTGTTTTTGGAGGACAAAGAAACCATATAGGGAAACCCATCTGACGTACTCACAGTAAGGGCTGGCTCTGCCATGGCTAAGAGGACCCTTTGGGTGTTTTTAGGCCCCAAGAAACGGCTGACCAGCGCAGACCAGCCCAGAGAAAATCTGAAAACAATGTCTTCTTGGAAATCTGAACAGAGACTGTGGCAGTTCAAATCGTAGCTGAGGTCAAACTTCCTGCATGGGACTAGCACATGGAGTTTACTCTGGACATCTGGAGGCAACAAGGACTGCAGATTTTCTGGAAAAAGACAGATTCAAGGAAAAGTTATACTCAGAATCATAGAGTTGGAAGAGACCTCACGGGCCATACAGTCCAACCCCATTCTGCCAAGAAGCAGGAAAATCGCATTGAAAGCACCCCCAACAGATGGCCATCCAGCCTCTGTTTAAAAGCCTCCAAAGAAGGAGCTTCCGCCACACTCTGGGGCAGAGAGTTCCACTGCTGAACGGCTCTCACAGTCAGGAAGTTCTTCCTAATATTCAGGTGAATCTCCTTTCCTGTAGTTTGAAGCCATTGTTCCACTTCCTAGTCTCCAGGGTAGCAGAAAACAAGCTTGCTCCCTCCTCCCTATGGCTTCACCTCACATATTTATACAAGGCCATCATGTCTCCTCTCAGCCTTCACTTCCTTCAGGCTAAACATGCCCAGCTCTTTAAGCTGCTCCTCATAGGGCTTTTCTCCAGACCCTTGATCATTTTAGTCACCCTCCTCTGGACACATTCTGGCTTGGAATCAATATCTCTCTTCAATTGCGGTGCCCAGAATTAGACACAGTATTCCAGGTGTGGTCTGGCCAAGGCAAAGGGGTAGCATGGCTTCCCTGGATCTAGACACTATGCTCCTATTGATGCAGGCCAAAATCCCATTGGGTTTTTTTGCCGCCACATGACATTGGAGGCTGGTGCCCTAGGAAGAACCCCAAGTCATAGAATCATAGTATCAAAGAGCTGGAAGAGACCTCATGGGCCATCCAGTCCAACCCCATTCTGCAAAGAAGCAGGAATATTGCATTCAAATCACCCCTGACAGATGGCCATCCAGCCTCTGTTTAAAAGCTTCCAAAGAAGGAGCCTCCACCACACTCCGGGGCAGAGAGTTCCACTGCTGAACGGCTCTCACAGTCAGGAAGTTCTTCTACATGTTCAGATAGAATCTCCTTTCTTGTAGTTTGAAGCCATTGTTCAGTGTCCTAGTCTCCAGGGAAGCAGAAAACAAGCTTGCTCCCTCCTCCCTGTGACTTCCTCTCACATATTTATACATGGCTATCATATCTCTCAGCCTTCTCTTCTTCAGGCTAAACATGCCCAGCTCCTTAAGCCGCTCCTCATAGGGCTTGTTCTCCAGACCCTTGATCATTTAATCGCCCTCCTCTGGACACATTCCAGCTTGTCAATCTCTCTCTTCAATTGTGGTGCCCAGAATTGGCATATAGCTTCTTATCATACAAAGAGGTCTAAGCCAGAAGTAAAAAATTAACAGGGAAATCTATAATTAGAACGGATCTTATTTCTGCAATTGCACTGCCGCAGATTGACCCTCTTCCTTTAAAACTTATAGCCAAGCCTTGGAAAAACAAATAACTACTTATTCCCAAACAGCTGTAACCACACATCAGAAAACAAACTTGCTCCCTCTTCCCTATGACTTCTTCTCACATATTGATACATGGCCCTCATCATGTCGCCTCTCAGCCTTCTCTTCTGCAGGTTAAACATACCCAGTTCTTTAAGCCACTCCTCATAGGGCTTGTTTTCCAGACCCTTGGATCATTTCAGTTGCCCTAATTTCAAACCATGTTCCATTGACTTGTGGTTGTATCTGGTATTCATTCTGTGTTCGTTGACGCATACCTTTTAACCAGTGTAAGATTCTCATAAATAAATTATTTTTCAAAAGATCAGTTTTAAATAGTAGGAATAGTTTTGTTGAAAACAATGCAGACCATAGCTGGAATCCTGCATGGTTCAGTGTAGCAATTGCAGTTCAGCATTAGATTTTACACTAAAATGAGTAGTATACTATCCACTGCTGTACAAATTTGGTGCCCTTCTCTCCACATTGCTGTTTTGCACCTTGTGGGGAGCAAGCAGGGACAGAGGTAATTGTAGCCAAATCTGAAATTGGAACATTTACACTGAACTTATGCAAATTGGAGGCTGGTGCTCTTGGAAGAACCCCAAGTCTAGAGAACTGAGCCTAATAATAATAATAATAATAATAATAATAATAATAATAATAATACTTTATTTATACCCCACTACCATCTCCCAAGGGACTCGGTGCGGCTTACATGAGGCCGAGCCCACAACACATCAATAATAAAAGCAATAACAACAAATAATGCGGAACAATAAAATAAAACTCATAACAAAAAATAAGCAATAACATTAACAGTAACACAGCAACGTTTAAAAACCTATGGCTGGGCCAAATGTAATAATTAAAATTTAAAAATAATGCTGAGCATGAACAGGTGAAATATAACTAGGATAGATTGAGAGGAAAGGGCGTGCAGACCATCCTAGATCATTGATAAAGTGCATTTAGGGACATATTGCTGGGAGTTTCCTTATTCTGGGAAGGCACACTGGAACAACCACGTTTTCAAGCTCCTCCTAAAGACTGCCAGAGTTGGGGCATGCCTGATGTCCTTGGGGAGTGAGTTCTAGAGTTGAGGGGCCACCACCGAGAAAGCCTATAGCTACTTATCAGACAAAGAGGTCTAAGCCAGAAATAATAATAATAATAATAATAATAATAATAATAATAATAACAACAACTTTATTTGTACCCCGCTACCATCTCCCCAAGGGACTCGGTGCAGCTTACATAAGGTCAAGCCCACAGAACATCAATAAACAAAAGCGATAACAAATAATCAATACAAAACAGTTAAAATAAAACTCAAAAACAAAAAATACCAATAAGCAATAAACAATAACAATAACATACAGCATTAAAAAAACCAGTAACAACAGGTAAGTCTCTATTTAGAACAGATCTTATTTCTGAAATTGCACTGACGCAGATTGACCCTCTTCCCTTGGAAGGGGAACCTGAAAAGCCTCAGCTTCCATCTTTAAAACTTCTAGCCAAGTCTTAGAAAAACAAACAACGACTTATTCCTCAGCAGCCATAACCAAACAGAAAACCTACTTCACAGAAACACTAGGTGAAGCTAGTGTTAACAGTTCTCTAGTGGACACTCAATAAACAATGCCTAGTAGGCTTATATATACTCACAGAGCAATTTATTGCTTCTTCCTGCAAATAAATTAATTGGCATTCCAAACATCTCTAATTCCTCCATTCCTTCAGTCTTGCCACTCTCTTCCCCGCACCCTGGTTTTTCCCCAGCTGCAATCTCTCTTCATACGTTCTTCCCAGCTTCCCAACTATTGCTTATCACCAGTTGTTTATCACATTGTTCTGTACCTTGACATTTTTTTGCAGGCTCCAATAGCTCTCCTTCTCTTGAGGAGCTGCTGGCTTTGTCTATGGGTAGTGCCCTCTTTACTCTTCCCTCTGTTACATGTACATAAGGGAACAAAACAAGGTGGCAGCCCAACTGGTTCTATAAAGTTTGGTTCTAAAGTACAGTTGCCACAACATTCCCACTCAGATAGAGATCAGAGGGGAGAAATAACGCAACCAGATTCCAGGCATTCTGAGTGTAAATGTTACCAATCATGTCTTGTTGTGATTGAAGCATCAACTTGTTGATTTCAGTGGAACAACGGTCAGCCAGGTTCCTTCCTAAGCCTTCTTCTAGGTGCTTGTTGAGTTCCTAGCATTTGATAAGAGAAAGCAAGCAGTTAGCAACAAACCTGTTCAAGGTTCGCTACTGAAAAGTTAAGACACACAAAGTGCTTCCTGTTGCCCCATTTCTATGTTCATCTTTAGTCTCCAAACTGCACAAACCAGGCCTTTGGGCAGTAGAAGTAAATGTATGCAGCATTTCAGAAAGACAATGACTAGAATGGCGATTTGAAGGACGAGACTGTTTTATTGTTTTAATGATTGCTTTATTGCTTGTGGATGCACTGCTTTTAACTTGATTTATGTATAATTGTAGTGTATAATTGTAATTGCTTGTACTGGCATTGAATTTTGCCATTACTTTTGTGTAAACCACTTTGAGTCCCCCTCGGGGTGAGAAAAGCGGTATACAAATACTGTAAATAAATAAAATAATAAATAAACCACCAAACTCCTTCACCTGAATGACAGGAGAAGAAAATCAGTAAGTTTTCTTTGGGTGCAAACCTGTTCAAATGTTCCTCTCCACTAGAAGAACTACAGCTGGGATGGCCCCAAATATTTCGCTCTCTGAGACCAAAATAATTTGACTAGCTTTGGGCATAATACCTCTTGAGAGGATGAGAGGCATCACGCATAATGCTAGCCAAATTATTTTGGTACTTGAGGCAGGAGGACCCAAAGCCACTTTCCCAAGCACTAACACCAATACGCAATCTATATACTTGCTGAATTGAACACTATTTGTGTCTTAATATTTGCACTAAAATGTGCGATGCAAGGCCAGAAAGTTATTTTTGTTTTTTACAATAAGTTCTGTCTACTTGATTTTTATGAAACAAATTGCATTATGTAATGTTTGTTTGTGGGATTGACATAACTCAAAAATCACTGGACGGATTGACACCAAATTTGGACACAAGACAACTAACAACCCAATGTATGTCCTTCACTCAAAAAATTGATTTTGTCATTTGGGAGTTGTAGTTGCTGGGATTTATAGTTCACCTACAATCACAGAGCATTCTGAACCGCACCAGCGATAGAATTGGGCCAAACCTCCCACACAGAACCCCCATGTGGGCCACAGCAACGCATGGCAGGGGACGGCTAGTAATAAAGTAAATAGCTAATCATTTGCTGCCCTTTTATGAGACAGAAAAACTGTTGCCTGATGGGTTTGTCTCACTCTGCCTAATGTTACAGACATTTAAAAAGGTTCCCCGAATGCAGATGCAGGAACAGCCAGGTGGCCAATTACCTCTCATTGTCCTCTCTGCTATTTCTATACCTAAGTTTCCCAGTCTCTAAATAGCATATTAAATAGTAGTTCCATTGTTGACCAATCTCATAATTTTAGTGACAATTGGCCAACAGCATGTCATTACAGCAGCTACAATTTTCCTAGAAGTAGTCTTAAGATACATAATGAGCTATTAACATAATGACATATTATTTTGAATATAAAGTTTTGACATAATACCAGCATTTTCCATGTTTTAAACATTGTATAGCTGGTAGCAATTCACACAGCTTCAGTTCTTAATGTACTTCTCTGATAATTAATATAATCAATCTCTAGCTGACTCCACTGATATGATGCAAGTAGTTGTAATTCACAACATCTCCCTGAGGAGGACAGGATTTTGGAATATGTGTGTGTGTGATGCCAGTTTTTTTTTCTACTACCAAGAAATTTTTTCCTCTCTTTAAAGTAATGTTTGAGTCACAACTAACACTCCTCTTTCCTGTCTTATTTCATCCCCTGACAGCATTCATTTGTTACATGATTGTCTTGTCTGTGTCTAGAAATGCAAATAACAGTCAGCCTGCCATATTTGCAGATTTAACTTTTTGCAGACTTATTAGCAGATTTGATTAATATGGAGTTTCCCGGTCCTCCAGCACAACTCTGCAGTGAGCTTCTGCCAACTACTAACCACAGAGTTACACTGGAAGACTCTGATCCTTAGAGAGGTGTCCTCCCAGGTTAAAAAATGTGTTTTTTTATTTTCAATTCCAGTTTATTTTTATTTACTTACAGTATATTCTGGCGTATAAGACTACTTTTTAACCCAAGAAAATCTTCTCAAAAGTCAGGGGTCGTCTTATATGCGGGTGTAGTCTTATGCATGGGAGTCATCTTAACTCTATATTTTAACTGGAAAAGTTGGGGGTCGTCTTATACGCCCAGTCGTCTTATATGCCGGAATATACGGTATTTATTTATTCATGTCAGGAGCGACTTGAGAAACCGCAAGTCGCTTCTAGTGTGAGAGATTCGGCCGTCTACAAGGATGTTGCACAGGGGATGCCTGAATGTTTGATGTTTTTTACCATCCCTAATGGAGGCTTCTTTCATGGCCCTGCATGGGGAGCTGGAGCTGACAGAGGGAGCTCAACCCGCTCTCCTTGGATACGGTCAGCAGTCCTACTGGCACTAGAGTTTCACCCATTGCGCCACTGGGGGCTCCATATCCCAGTTTATATGGATGGCTGACTGTAACTGTATGCTATAGAATCACGACCATGCCTCAAGTTACCAAAGAGGGTGGGGAAGGCAAGGTTGCAGAGATGTGCATGGAACAGGGATGGGCATTCATGTTATCTGGGGGGCGGCTACTCCAATTAGCCAGATTGGTGACCATCAATCAGAGAACCTTTTCATCGGTCACCCCAAAACTGTGGAACGACCTGCTGGAAGAGATTCGACAGCTAAATGAGCTATCAGAATTTAAGACACAACATAAGACCTCTCTTTCCCGGTAATCCTACTCAGTCCGTGTTAACTATGACATTTTATTGAACGTTTTATTGAGGGAAGCAAAAAAAAAAAAGAGGGGAAAAGGGGAAATTTTCATTATACATGTAAAGTGGGAGAAGGAAAGTAGGAAGATAAAATAGGATAGGAAAAGCAAGGAAAATATTTATATATAATTTAATAAAAATAGGAGAAATTGATACAAAAAAAAACTATGTTAACTATGACTTTTGAATCACATTCTATGTTTATTGTGTTTTAACTTTTCCTTAATGTATTTTGAATTTTAACTACATTTTCATATGTGATTTTATAGATGCATTTAACTATGTTGTGCCCCACCTTCAGATGAAAAGAGAGGCGGGTAAAACATTAAAAAGTATGATAATGATGATGGGAAAAAATCCAAAAATATCAAACCATTTTTCTTCTGACTCCATCCTAATCCAGCCCCATGCCCCTAAAATCTGGCCCACAAGCCTTCTGTGGCCAGCCATGCCCTTTTCCAATTATTATTGTCCCTTTTCTTTACTATACCATCTTTTATTTTTGATTTCTAATTTGATTTCTTTCTAACTTGACTATGAGAAAGTATCCGATGTGTGCTCATGTGTTCCAGCTTCCTTTTGCTGTCTAAATGAACTTCTGGTCACCTATTAAGCGTTTTAGACCAGCAGAACCTACTAATGCTTAGCTTAGTTGAGTGAAGAACAAACAGTCAAGGCAACAGGAGCAGGCAAATCATGCAGTTCCAGTCTTTGTTTATCCTCAGCAGGGGATCTGTGTTAATCTTTAGCAGCAGATCTTTGAAGCTCTCAATAGTGTGTTAAGAGTGTGGATACATTGTATGGGCAGGGGCCGAAAGTGAAAAGACCTCACTGCAATCCTACCCAGAACAGCCAGTATGAATCCTGTATCAGGCATGGGAATCCACTGATGACTTTTGCCAAGTCACACTCTCAACCTCAGTAGCAATCGAAGACAAACCCCCTCTGAACAAATCTTGCCAAGAAATCCCTAAGGTAAGGTTGCCATCTATCAGAAGCCACTTGAAGGCACACAGCTACCTCCGTGCCCAATTTGCAGCTTGACTGCACTCATCAGTGTCATGTGACCTTCAAGTTTCCACACTGTCAATGAAGCCCTTGGGCAAAAAAACCATTTCCTGACCCTTCTACACAACTTCTTGAGATTATTTCTTTTATTTCTAGGTTTTTCTACAGCATCTGAAGGTAAAGTAAAGGTAAGATTTCCCCTTGATATTAATTGTAATCGTATCCAACTCTGGAGGGTGGTGCTCATTTCTAAGCCAAAGAGCTGCCGATGTCTGTAGACGTCTCCAAGGTCATGTGGATGGCATGATTGCATGAAGCGTTATTACCTTCCCACAGAAGTGGTACCTATTGATCTACTAATATTTACATGTTTTTAACTGCTAGGTTGGCAGAAGCTGGGGCTAACAGTGGGAGTTCACCCTGCTCCCCGAATTTGAACTGCCAATCTTTTGGTCAGCAAGTTCAGCAGCTCAGTGGTTTAACCCACTGCACACCAGGGGCTCCTACAGCATCTGAACCAAGTAAATATGAAAGCAAAGAATTATTCTTTTCTAAATCCTAAAGAACAGATGATGATTATTATTATCATTATCTCGCCTTTTCTCTCTAAAAAGGATTCAAAGTGGCTCGCAATAACACCAATACAATTAAACTTAAAAATGTACAAACATTAAAAATGAAATTAAACATGAACAGTATTAAAAATAAACAATTAAAACTCTTCAAACCAATTAAAAACTTATTCATAGCTAAAACCAGCCCCCTGTTACCATTTTGTCCAACTCTGTATTACAGCAATAAAAAAAATAACATATTATCTTCTAACCAATGGATAGGTAACACATAAAGTTCGTTAAAAAAGAAATATTAGACTGCTAAAGAAGCTGAACAACACAAATGATGATCTGTGGGGAAACTTACATTTTTATACAGTTTCATGACTTGTGGGGATGGGTGAAAATCAGAGTTAAACTCATTTACCAAAACAGAAAGTCGACAAATTTCCTCAGACATGGCAGAAGACACCTGGAAAAGATAAATGTGTAGTGGATAAATTCAGCATGAAAAAAGGTTGAAGGAAAACGTGTATGGTGGTTATTTCAAACTTTTTTTAAAAAAAAAAGTTGTTTTTTTTTAAAAAATGCCTCTTTCTTATATATGCTTTCAGGAAATTCTCAAAACTTTTAAATCAACAACATTTAACTTATGAAACTGTCTCATATTATGTTTGATCTTTGATCTATGTTGTGCATGACTATCTACTCTAATTGACATCTGTCTTCTGGCATCCCAGACTTGTCTCAGGTATGGCACACACGATTGTTCAGTTGAATGCTACAAACTGAATCTAGGACCTTCTGCATTCAATACTTGTCCTATTCTATAACCTGTCACCAATCCCTTGAACCCCAAAAGGCATATCAGTTCCCATTTTCAATACTGAATTCCCTAGTTCCTGTTCACAGACATTTTGCACTATTTCTAGGAAGTACTGAGTATTGCAATGATTTCAATAAACGATTCCAGCAGAAGAGGAATTTTAAGGCCTTCAAAAGATTGCCAACACCTCTCTAAAATTTAAATTCATTAAGTATTTAGTTTCTGAGAAATCTGCAACTTACTTTGTTGGCAACTTCCTCTGTAATCTCTTTGATTTTGTTCTTTATGTCCTCTGTCAACAAATTGAGTTGGTTTCGTACAAAATCCAGCCTGTCCTTCTGGTCCTCTCGTTCTTCCATTGAATGGACTCTAAAGCAGCAGAAAAGCAACCATCAGCCTGAATCTATACAGTGATTAGTCCAAAAATATGGTGATATAGGCCTGAATATACAATTGCTGTCATCACCCTGGCTTGACAGGTTGAACCCAAAGCTAGGCCCAAAACTACAAACAAGAAGAGAAAGCTTTGATCTCCAATCTACATGGATTCCCAACAGAAGTACCAACTTTTAATTGGGTTGCTGTAAGTTTTTCAGGCTGTATGGCCATGTTCCAGAAACATTCTCTCCTGATTTTTCACCTGCATTTATGGCAGGCATCCTCAGATGTTGTGAGATCTCTGAAGATGCCTGCCATAGATGCAGGCAAAACGTCAGAAGAGAATGCTTCTGGAACATGGCCATACAGCCTGAAAAACTTATAGCAACCCAGTGATTCTGGCCATGAAAGCCTTCGACAACACATCGAACTTTTAACTGGCTATTATGTATGATAAGGGAAGAGGATGTACTTAGAGGGGATTTTAGGAGGTATGGATTTCTCCCCTTGTATGAATGTGGACCCTCCAATACCAACTTTATATATTTATTTATTATTTTATTACAGTATTTATATTCCACCCTTCTCACCCCGCAGGGGACTCAGGGAGGATTACAATGTACACATATATGTCAAACATTTAATGCCAAAGACACGCAACAGATATAGACAGACAGTCAGAGGCTATTTAACTTTTCTGGCCACCAGGGGAGCTGTTGCTTTCATTGTTCATCTGCGACATTGATGAAGTACTTTCTGCATTCCCTGCATGCTTTTGCTGGAGTGCTTTGCTGAAGTCTTTTTTATGGCCTCATAAATTAGTTAAATTAGCCTCCCCACACATAAGTGGTACCTAATTTTCCTACTTGACAGATGCAACTGTTTTTCGGGTTGCAAATTTTCCTACTTGACAGATGCAACTGTTTTTCAGGTTGCAAAGGTCAACAACAAGCTACACAATTGGTCGGAATCTCACTCCGACCCGAGCTGGCTTCGAACTCATGATCTTTTGGTCAGAAG